ATTGTGCTGGACATCCGCCAGTCCGACACAAGAGTTTGGAGCTAATACTAGATAACAAAAGCAGGAACTATTACGAATTTATGTTACTAAGTTAAAGGGTACGGAAAATAGATCTCCAGATATTACTAGGTTTGCACCGAATGTGTTGTTCAAAGATAAGTGCTTAAATTATCTAAAAAGTTAGTTCGTGGAGCGTCCTTTATGGTTGCATTTTCAAATAAAAATGCAAATAAGATAATATGAGTAAGAATGAAAAAGTATGTTATTAAGATTACAGTAATAGCAAAGATATTTCAACTATCGGCTACTGGCAAAACAATTTTTTTTAATAATTCAACTTAATAGTCATGTATTGAGATGAATAAAAATGGCTGAAATAAAAGTTCTTATTGCTGGAACGATTGATTCAGCGGATAAAGTGGCGTAGAATAAGGTCGTCGTGGCCATTATGACTTGTCACAAAAAACTAAAAAGTATGATACATCATTTATGTTATAGGCGTATGCGGTGCACCTCTAAAGATGCACCCTACATAGCTAAGAGGCTGTAATCAAAGCACTCCCCACGGTCTGTCTGTATGCCAAACAGGAAAAGACAATTTTTCTCTGCCATTACAAAGCCTTCTTAGCATTTAGCAGTGAAGCGATCAATCTACTCGGTTGAAGCAAGTAGGATCGTGGTCAGGAGTATAAACACAAACAATCTATCAAGAGAAATAAACTTAAGGGACTGATTCCAGCCAAAATGGTCTTAAGTTCTCTTCTAAGCCCAAGTCATTAGCGAAATGGGCAAAGGACTTGCCTCTAGAACCTTGTATCTCTTGAGCGAGACCATTGTGTACCGAAGTTGGACAATTGCCAATGTCAGTCTCTAGTGTAGACTGTAATGAATAGCAATGGAATTCCTCCTCTTTCGGCTCCTGGACTTCCACGTCTGCATCCGAAAATGCACTGCAAGAGGAGCCCAACTCCACTGGGAAACTGAGAGATTCTGCAGGACCAGCTTGACCCCATGACTCTGGCTTGGCAACCAAAGAGAGCGGACGGAAGCTGGCATCATCCTCATCTTCATCCACTTCCTCTTCGCTGGCATCAATTTCTGTTGTCCGATCTTCCGACAGCTCAGCACCGCCGTCAGTAGCAGAAGTGGCGCTAAGGCAAATAAGGATGGTCTTAGAACTATTGGAAGACTTTGAGTTTAAGTCACAAGGAGTTGTCCTGACCACGGCCATAGAGCCAGAGGGGACAAATTGAGGTGGGGTTGGGCTAGGATTGGCTGCATCGTGGTGAGGAAAAGAGGTGGACGGTTGACTGCATTGAGACTCCAAGTAATTAAAAGGCTGGTGAGAGGACTGGCATACCGGAGAGAAGAGAGGTACAGCCGAATAAGTGGACTTGCAGGAGGAAAGTGCTCGAGTTCGGACATCACTGGCTTTTGAGTCCAAGTCAGAGCAGAGAGACTGAATAGTTAAAAAAATATAAAATAAGATAGAGGATGGTTAAAAATGGAGAAATCTAAACTTATCTAAAAAAATTAAAGTGGGTTGACCTCGTTGCAACTTGGTCTTGTTGTCAGGGCGACTTGGTAGAACGCAGATAGTCCAAAATCGTTTGCCATAGTAGTTGTCATGATTCCCAGCACCAGACAGTGGACTTGGTACATTCTCAGACGTTTCGCCGGCATCGTAGTCGGCATCATCAGTCAGTGCTGCCATTCTCCGCACTAAGCTACGAGCCCGTCAAAGAGACAAGTGAAGTCAATCCCTCGACAAATGTTCTGTCAAAAACGGTTACACTATCACTCCTCTTTCTGTCCTGGCCTATCTATCTACTCTTTACCCTCTTATCCCACTGCCGCTCTATCCCTACTACGGTAGTAAAATAGGTTACTTAATCGGGTTGGAGACTCTATATGGATTTGCTCCGTCTCAAGAATGTCATCTTCCTTTTCCAGGATATGCAAGAGTATCGTGAATTATTTTTCTCCTGAGATGTTAGTTTACATGAACTGTACATCAAAGCACACCAAAAGTTAGTTTTCCTCTTAACTGGCGCCTTTGATTCTTTGGCAAAATTCGTATACGTTCTTCACTCTATCCGATAAACTGTAATTTACTTTCTTTAATTTGAGGCAGATAAATTTAGCCAGTTTATATGTTGGTCTGCGTTTGCTGTCGACTATCAGTCTCAATGGTCCTCCTTCTTTGTGTACCTTCGGCAAACCGTATGCTACTGGGGCTATTGCATTCTTTCGTAGCAGTGAATCCATTGTCCATTTGTCCATTTCCTCGTTCATATTCATTTCCGTCAGCATTTCTTGCAATGATACTTTGATTTTAACTGTTGGATCTTTTGTTAGCAGTAGATAAGTTGTGGTTTCCCCGAGAATATTTTTCTTTTTTTTTCTCTAAATTTCTTCCTGTTCATCAGCACTGCGGCGCCTTTGTCGGCTTGCAGAACTATTTGATAGTTTCTCTTAAATTATCTATATATCTTGGTCGTAGTGTTTCTATCCATAGATTCTTGATGCACCAAAATTATTGGGATGATTTGTATTTCCAGCTCTCTTTTTATTCTTCCGGAAGCTTCCCAGAGGCATTTATCACCCCCATTTGATCGCCTTCTTTTCATTATGAAATGAAAATTTAGTTATTTTTTGAAAATCACCGTGGCTTCGAGATCAAGAGGGACGGAAAACAGATTCACTATCTCATCTTTCTATCTTGTCTGGACTGTGAGATTCATCATTCTAGAGTGATCTTCATTTTTGTCGAGTGGTTGGACCTTGGGCTGCCTATAGATCCCATATTTATTCAGCTTCTTCTAGTGCCTTTTTTCAATCAGGTCCGAGATCTTTTTCTACATTTTGTCTGTCATCTCATGTAGTTTCACAAATCCCCCGGGGTAAGAATCAGACTCAAATCATGCCTGAGTATAGATTCAATATTTTAAAACTTAAATAATTTTCCCCTTTCCCTAGCATATGTATCCCTCGATTATTGCAAAGAAGCTTGATATAATGTATTGTTTACCATGTCGGAGGGATGCCACAACGTTTACAACAGTTGAGAAAGGTCAATTGATATACGATTGTTTTCAGTAATCTGATATAATCGGTGCATTGTCTGGCAATCTTGCCACCGCAATTGGATAATAGATATGAAGACCAAGATGGTATTGGTCTGACACTCTTAGGCGCCATTAGAGGAAACGAGAGCACAGAATGGTCTGAATGGGTAATGTGGCCATATGAAGTGGAGTTGAGAGGAAGAGATGCAGCACTAAAAGATAGGACAAAAATAGGGGCGCGGAGTGATGCTAAAACGTTTGAACAAAAAAGAAGTTAAGGGTATTGCTTTCACTTTTCACTTTAATAAGCTGCAACTCTGTGCTAACGATGGCGCTTTTCACTGGCGACGTCGGTGAAACGTTTGTTAATGTACCAAGTCATGGTCCGATGCTGGAAATTACGAATAATATGGCAAAGGACGCATAACTAGGTACGCTTCACAAGGTTTTACTGATGCCCCGACCAAATTGAGAAGACGAAGTCAAACAAACACTAAGAGATTAGAAGGTTGATCCTACCAGAGGACAATGCAAGATTCTCCTTATCAGACTTTGCTGGAACATTCTGGTAGATGCTGTCCCCAAGAAAATCTCCTTTAATTTCGGTGAAAGAATGCTAGGCTTTCACTACATTCTCCTTAGAAAGTCTAAACTTAAGCCTTTTTATGAGATATGGAATGATTCGGTTGAATCAAGTAACATGTAAATCTAGAAGCATATTCGTGTGTATGCTCGTATGTGTGTATATATGTTTTTATGCGTAAGTAAAGGAACGAAACAAGCAATAGTGGCTAAACGTAATTAGGTGAGTAGACTCTATCTCTTGCCATCAAGTCCAAATGACCCTTTTTATTCAAGTTAGATTACATTGTCTGGTTCAAGACTAGCAATATATCATGAAAAAGAAATGTATTCACTACGAGTATAGTTAAGTCGAAAAGCTTTATGCCTATGTGTGAGTATTTGCGTAAGCGAACAAATAAAAAAAGTGTGAAAGTGTGAACAATAAAAGACTAATCAATTCACCTCCTATTGCCAGACGTATCAAACACCTTTTTGTTCTTAAGTCTTTTAAGTAAGTATACATCGTGACTACTTAACTTTCTGCCGATACTCTTGGCATTCAATGTATTGCCTCATCTGTAGATTCCGATGATTTCTCTAATTTTGCACATAGCATAATCAGACAAATGACAAGTGTACGAAGAAGAGAGTCGTAGGTTGATCTCAACATAAGACGATGGCTGAATTCCGTTGTACTGCAGTCGTTTGGCTTTAATAAGACATTCAGCTTGACGCCGTCCCCGAGATATCCTCCTTCGTTTTGGGTGAAAACGGGCTGAGCTTGTGGACCGGGTCAACCTAAACGTCGTATTAAAGCCAAATGACTGCAGTACAATGGGATTTAGCCAACGTCTTCTAGTGAGATCAACCCATGAAGCTTTTCGTCGTGCACTTTCATATGAAATGAAGGTCTCCCCAACAATGTTATTTCAGGAGATTAATCGAAGCCCATTTAATCTTCAGATTCATTATTTATTTTGCATCTATGGTTAAAGAAGTTAGGAATAAACCAGCATATGCTAGTTTTTTATACACATCCCAGTCCAAACTACGACCTGCTCCGATAACACAAAGATCAAAAAGCAATAAACTTATATTCAATTCTACTTCTATTAGTAATTTGCTATTATTATCCTGTAAGCCAATGAAGAACAAAAAAAATTAGCCAATCCATCGTCATAATGTTGTGAAAGTGCAAAATAATCACCCATATAACTAACAGTATTGTTGACAATCCTATCAATATTAATAAAGCTTTCCTTCATTCTTGGCATTTAGTTATTAATCCAAATGGGAGTCAAACAGGATTCTGCTGCAAGTCCTTGCACGTGTTCATAACATCTTTCAAAGAAGGTGAAGTAGGTGCTACTCGCATAGACCTACTCCCTTAATAATATCTGATCAGGACCCTTACACCTAACATAAGTTGAATATCGCATACACACAACATACATACAGCCGTGTGCCTAAAATAGCGTCAATATTATGGAATCAAACGCTGGTTCATTTATGTAAGAGAGCGACTTTGACCACATTTGAATGCTCTTCTCGCATTTTCATCAATCAACTGCGAGAATGAAACAATCAAATAAATAAAGCGATCGTAGACCAAGATGATGTGGCCTTCTATTTGGTCGCAATTTTCTTTAGCTTTATAGTATTGGTTCGACCTTGTATTCGCAACTTGGTCGGAGCGACAGGGATACCTTGTGGAACGTACCTAGTCCCGTGTTCTCTGCCATAGTATTTCTGATTGGAATGGCTGGGAATGTACCCAGTCAATGGTCCAATGCTTGAAATTATCAATACTTTGGCAGAGAACACGGGATTAGGTACGTTTCACAAGGTCTCCCTGACACTACGACCAAGTTGCGAAGACAAGGTCCGACCAACACTATAAATAAAGCGATGCCTTAAATGAGAAAATAAAAAAAGCATAATAGCATGTTTCTACAAATTTGTCCATCAATTTTTCTATAGAAAAATATGAAAAACAAAGTGCGGTAAGTGCCTAAGTAGTGATATTCATCCCTTTAAAGACGCTATGATAATTCCGAAAAATTTTGCATAAGAGGCTTAGAAGAGGTGTTCTAGGCAGGATTCCAAGAGGCGATTGCAGGCTAATTATTCAAACTGTCTCAAGATGGACTATCTAAATTTATCAAAAAACCTCCTTAGCCTCGTATGGGTTGACAATTCTAGATGGAATAGTGGATGAAAATCCTGAATATAGATATCAAGAGCCTATAGAAGCGTTTCATATTAAAGTATGTGAAGAAAGCATTAAGGGTATTCGTACTAAGTAGGTTTTGAAAGTACAAGTTGATCTAGTATAAGAGCTGTATTCATTTCAGGTCGCATAAGTTGATGAAGGTCTGATAGTTAAATTTTACCACAATGATGAATAAGTCTCTCATTTCAATCAAATTTCACGCACCCTTGCCTCTCATCCAGAGTTGAGTACAGCTTCGAACTCGCGCAAGTGTCACCAGCATACTTAGCTGAATTTGGACCAGATTAGTGCAGCGTATAGTCTCGATATGTCATCACGTAATATGTAATTTAATGGGAACGTGAGGCTATTCATCTCATTGTTGGAAGATTCACTTAACAGTCCTTCATCACATGCGACCAAGGGTGAGTGCAGATCTTATTCAGGCATTTAAGGTAGATGATCTGCTTACCCTAACAAAGTTGCTCTACCCATTAATCTTCTAGCTTCCAGACTCGATAGGGATGTTGATAAGAGCCGGGGATACCAAAAAACTAGTACACTCGGAAGGGAAATGTGTATAATGTATACGTAGCAGAATGAATTCTAATGTGATGAAATAGAAACACTGTTTGTTAGTTATCCAAGCGATTAATGCTTCATTTTGGTCCAAACGGGTTGTCTACACACAGGTCAAGGCTATGTAATGAATAAATGGAAATTAAGCAGCTGGCTACGGGGATAAAGCAGGCCTCAAATTATTGAATACCTGTCCATTCTGTTGAGGAATATGCCGAGCTGAGTAGGAATCCGATGTTCTTCGGCAGGTCTCATTGCCCGACCGTAGTACACCTGCAGACTTAGGCAAGAAGTTGTCATAATTGGATTCAGCGATAGAAGCAATTTTAATTGCAGCAGTCACTGCTGTTGCCATGGTCGTTGAAGTCGTCATCAAACTGGACGTCGTTGCAATAGTTGTCGAAGCCTCTTCTGCCAGTGTGAAGCAAGTCAAATCAGCTAGACGACCTTGGAGGACAGAGTTCTCGCGGCGCAACGCTTCAATTTCGGCAACTAAGCTCGAGAAATCAGTGCTCGTATGAGAGGTTGTAAACTGACTAAATCGGAAGGACTGGTTATAAGAAAGCAACATATTAAAAAAAAACATTACGAGGGCGGTATTTAGGAAGTTGAATAATGAAACAATGAAAGTTAGGTTCGAAGGCAGATTTCATCATCATTTATAGGGATGAGTCAAAGTAATAATATACGTTTTTCAATCTAATCATATGAATATACTCTTCATTCAAGGATAGATGAGGTGTTTTAGCCTCCAAGAATTGAATCCAGTGGCTTGTACCCAAGAGGTTTTTTAAAGTCGTACAACGTTCCAGCTTTTTCTTTACATTCAGCGGCCACTTTGGGGCATGCTGTATAGCACAGTAACTCAATGCAGCTACGACCACAGTTGCATTTGAAGTAGTAAATAGTAGGTGTGAGTGAAAGTTGTCAATTGGTTAGTGGGTGATTGTGGAAACCCCGGTTGTTTGCGGTAACCAAACTAGCCTTTATAACGGGTAGGCACTGGCAAGTGAGGCTGGAAATTGTTTGCTCGCGCCATTATTATGCCCACATATGAGCACTAATCTAATAGAAAATAGGTTCATCAAACAGTGATGCAGATTTTCTTCGTACTAGAGGGTTCTCTTGATATTTTCCTGAAGTATTCAGGGCTACTGATGAGAGGCCCCGAAACTCATTGTGCATGCATACTTCCTCTGCATAAAGCCATGATATATGAAGTAGTAAAGATGCGCTCTTCACACAAAAGACACGAGATTTCAACGTGAAGAAACGCAATCACTGTAGTATGAGTAAAAGCAAACGAAACTTATCAGAATGGGACTCTGATGTGAAGAGTTAACTCTCAATGTAACTGGAAACAGCCTACGAATCATGCGCAGA